CGGACTAGATGATCTGCTAAGGTCCCTTCCGACCCTAGAAACTATAAATTAGAGCAAGAGAAAGATTTCATACAAATATTAGTTCTTAAGTTAATGAAAATACCAACAAACTTTACCACCAGAAAAATCACAAACTTACACTTGTAGTAGGACTATAATACTCAGAATTCTTCCCATCTATATCAAATCACACGCAAAACCATCAGAATATATGCAGGTACAATTGTACTTAAAGATTATGGGCCAAAGTCTTACCTAGTACAAATCATTGTACTTCACTTGATTTCAGTAGAGCTACAAAGATTTGTCTTAGCTGAGCGTCTGCTGTTTATTCAACTATGTATGTTAAGGATTAACAAGAAAATATTATCTTTATAGCTATGTAGCATGATCTGTGGCAAAAGATAAGCACAGCATAGCGGGATTTTAATTCCAAGACTTTAAATCTATTTTCCCCTTTCTGTTTCCTGCTTCCGAATGTTCCTTCAAATTCCCCTGAAAATCCCAGTAGTTAAAAAGCAGCAGTTGCAGAGGGATTATTTGTATAGAGTCTCTAAAATACATTTTTATCTTGTTTGCTTTCTAATCTGAAGGAAATGGTAATTTTTAATGAGATTGTTAGTGCCTTCACAAAAATGCTGCCCTTTTACAGTAGTTCTCATCAGTGGAATTCCCCTGAGGCGCATTTCTGAGCATGAACTACATTATTTATTCCCAAGTCATCTTCTGGTATTCCATTTGGGAAGTGTTTATATTGTTTTTCTTCAGTTTACAGGGAGAAAGGTGAAATACTGACAATGATCTATAAAAAGAATAAAGTGGACACATTTCTGACTTTAAATTATAGATTTGAATTTTTCTCGTCTGCAGTGTATAGCTAGCTGTCTGTCTTGTTAACTTTGAGCAAGGTTACTGGACTGAATATTCCACCAAAATAAAATGTAAAAGCAAAGAAATATGCAATTAAGTCATACAACACCCACCTACTCACTGTTTCCAGTCCCTAGGCCCTTTACCACCATCCTCTTTTGGAACAAGCAATGGACACTCAAACTCCATGTTTACTGGCTATATATCTATGACTTTTGATTAATATGGGGGTAACCAAGTTTCCTTATGTTACACTGTAAGAATTTCTCTGCAGTGTGTATAGTTAGTTTGGAAGTGAGATACAATGTTAGGTTGCAAAGAGTGGCTGCGAGGGTTTTTTTACAATGTGTAGGGAAAATTATGTAAATGTGTTATTTCTTTGTTGTTTGTAATCTAAACTAGTTTATAAAAATGACAGGACTGAAATCAGCAGCATGTGCCTGATGGTGAATTGCATTTCTATTCAGAGGGTAAAGCAGTCTTTAGTTCTAATTGGAAATATCCGAGTCTTTTAATCTGATTTTTCCATCTTTTCTGGTCTCTCCTTTAAATGTTTTCACCTTCTTGTCATTCAAATGCCCAAGACGCATGGCCGTCATTGCTTCAATTCAAAACGAAACCGTGGTGTACAAACATAAGAACAAACCCTGGTGTCTGGCTTTGTGACAATCTGTCCTTCTAGCATAAACAACCTTTAAAAACTCACAGCTATATTAGACTCAAAGGTCAGAAATCAAATTTCATCAAAACAGTCTTCTGCTGCATGACATCCTGTTACTGTTAATCTCTATTACTGTTTAATGATGTTTATCTGAATTCCTATTTCCCTTTATTTTCAAAAAAAAAAAAAAAAGCTTAATTAGCCAAAAGAAGTTAGGTCTTGGCTCTCTGCTACAATATTAAATGTTCTTCCTGTGACTATTGGTGGCTTAGAAACCCAGTGAAACCAAAGAAACTGCCAGAGGTTAATTTGGCCCATTCTTCTCTGCTTTCCTCCTGGCTTGCTTGCTGGCCAGCCTATTACTGTTGATGTGTGATGGAAATAAAAGCTCAGCCAACAGCAAAAGATACAGAGCCTATTACCTCACAGGTTTGTATCTGAATAATAATGTACATAATAGCCATGATCTCTCACTGTGCCTCAGACCACTAACAGCTACCCTGAGTGCCCGGGCCCACGTTTAATAATGTAAAACAACTCTAATAAGTCTGTGCAGTGGCAATTCTGGAAGTGCAGATTTGTAGTCCACCTCCCACCACACATACGACAATACCTTAAATGAGCTATGTACTAGGAGAGGTTGCTTAGCCCTCCAGAGTCCAGTGGTCAGGCATTAGCAGATTCTGAATTAAACTTGGGAAGGAAAAATGGGTGTCAAGTACAGAAACTGAATTACTTGAATGTTTTCAATCCCGCGTCTGGCTTGGGTGAAAGTCTCTGAACAAATCTGTACATGTTTGGACTCTGGAAGCACTAAAGTTAAACCTCTTTCATCCCTTATCTTGTATTCACTCCTTCCCCAATTCTAGCTTTCAGATGAATAAAGTGCACCCTATAGCTTCAACACTTGACAATGTAAAAATCTGCTCCGTGTAAGGCAAAGCCTTGCCTGAGATTAACAAGAGATGCTCTTTCTGATTGCCTGAATTATCTCCATCACCTTTTCCTTTTATTGATCCCTTTCTGCTTTTTGTTTTCCTCTTTCTCTGTTTTCTTCTCTTGCCATTCCTCCGTTCTCTCCCATTGTCCCCATCTGCTTTTTACTTTTCTCTTTCTTCCCTTGCCATTTCTTTCACTTTTTCTTCTCCCTGTACCTACACATTTCCTTCCTCCAAATCTGTTTCTCAATCCATCCCTTTTCTCCTCTCTATCGCTGGTACCCAGTTTTCCCCTCGATATACATATCCAGACACATGGTGATAGGCACTAAATGAGAACTTAAATATACAGTGAGGTGTGTATGATTTCCTCTGTCTGTCCATTCCCACTGAAAATGAGGATACCTTTATTAGATTATTCCCACAACAGCAGATTCACTCTTGCCCTAGCCATAACACTACCAAAATGCACAGCAAAATGGAAGACTAAGAAACAAGTCCTATCATGCTGGAGCTAATATACTGCTTCTACCACACTGGCAGATAAGGAGCAAGAGCACAACTGGGAAATCACTGATGCACAAAATGTTGAATTACTGTGCCTGAGCTCTTTAGCCACATTACAGCCTATCAGAATTTAAATACATCCTTGGAAAGGATTTTATACCTTGATGTTAACAATAGGAGGGCACTGGAAATGAAGACTCTTGAGGTCATGCCTACTCTGATATTCCTGAAATATTTATCCCTGTCTTAGGGGAAGGGCAGTGAAAGTATAACAGCTATCTCCCTGTACAGTCACCTAATACACAACAAAAGGGAACTTTAGAGCATGAGATACTTTGGATGTGATGAGCTACTGTCTTCCTATTGGCCAATGCAACTCGGAACACTTTATAATGAAACGCTGTAATGACCTAGACATGGCACACCACCTACGCTAATTATATCTGGGTGGGTCTGGCTTTGTCTGCTGAAGAGCTGGAAGCTGCTTGAGAATGCAGCATTGGAAGCTTGGAATAGTTTACTGGGCTTCCTCTCTCAAGCCTTTTCTGGACTTCACTTTTTTTGTAAATAAAGTACCGTAAGTCTCTAGACCCAATACTGTGAGATGCTGTATGCCTTCAACCCTCATTGATGTCAGAGGGAGATGGTTCCTGCCCGGACCCAGCAAACTGTCAAGGAAATCTAATTATGCTTGTTGAGATAATCTGCTGTGTATAGAACAATCAGTACAATGCTAGTATCTGCAATAATTTAACAAATGAGTAATTCCAGGAGCAACCAATCACATAGGCCATGCTAAGAGTGGCTTCAAGAGTAACTCAACTGCTATCCAACACACCTATCACTTTTGAAGGGCTTCAGAATGACTTGGCAGAGATGTGGATGGTAAATTAAAAAAATACTTAAAATACAGCAAAAGCATTTCAACTTTCTCATAACATTTTACATGGTGTAGCAAGACAAGTCACTAGACAGTGCTTTAAAATCCCTTTGAAATTTAGCTATGAATAAATGTACCAGCCATCTCCATCATCCCATTGAAATAAAGTCCATACCTGATCTAGACAATTGCTGCGTAAGTAGCGCAAGGCTTGCTGTATGCTTTGAGGAAGTGGCTGCCCTGTCCTCTGGACATGGACTATCAAAGGCACGCCAAAGACATTCTTGTCCTTGTAGTCAGGAACTTTCATCCTCTTCATGAACTTTGGCACAGACCTGAAATTCATGCAAGCACTCAGCATTAAGCTATAAGAATACTCAACAAAATCCTACTGGGTAACTGCTAAGGGAAACCAGGAACTGTGCAGATGACCTTTTTCAAATATTAATAGTAAAGAAAAAGTTATCTTTTTAATACCCAATAGCTTCAAAGCCTTTACATGGAACCTTTAAACCAGGGGTGTCCAACCTTTTTGAATGTGAGGCCGGATCACAAACTTTTTATCACCCAGTGGGCCAGAGAGCCATATTCAAAGACCTCACAGGAAGCAGTATCACATCA